CTAAAATCACAACATTCTTCCAACAAAACTTAAGCATAAATGAAAATTTTGTGACGATTGAATTTTCACCTTAGTATATTACACTTGACGAATACTCGAATACAAAGGGTGTCGGTAACGATTGAACCAATTGACTCATATGAATATTCGAAGATAATATACACTTAAGTTTTCAAAGTTCTAAGTGCCTTGACACTATTAACCGTCATGTGTCCAATCCTTCTCATAAGCGCACACGAAACCAAAATCCGGGTTTCTTAAAGCGGATACACTTCATGCTTACGTAGGTCGAATCTTTTATTCGTGTACCCGCATAATACACTTTGTCAAAGATTCAATTAAGAAGTTTTGAACTTCATCCTCTTCTCTCATGCAGATAACAAGCACATACCTTGGGATGACAAATTGTGTGCTTCAATTTCTAAGAATGAGCTTTCCACATTGAATTCAGCCTCTAACGTTGTATTAGAGGGGAATTGGGTATCCCATGATCAGAAATTATATGGACTTTAAACCCATCCCTTTCATAAATTTGATCACCAAGTCACTAGTTAACCACTTCGTCAAATAATCAACCAAATTATCTCGAGTCTGGTCATATTGTTTAGACACAACGATATGAATGATCAGTTCAAAGATTTTATCGTGTCTTACTTCCACATGACCGTACTTGACATTTTCACTTGACTATATGCCATAGCCAAATTAGCATTACTATCACAAAAAAATAGCAATAAGTGAGATTGGTTTAGACCATAATTATATGTCATAAACCAAACATCTCAACAATAATGCCTTTTCTCTAAGAGAAATCAAGGCCACAAACTTTGACTCCATAATGGAACTAGTGATGCAAGTTTGCTTTCTAGAGGCCCAAAATATGGCACCTCCCCCGAGCAAGAGGACCCATCTCAATGTTGAAGTATCACCTTTAACATGAGAAATCCAACTAACATCAACAAATCCTTCCAAAAATGAATGGAAAGCCACTATAACTCAATACAATGAGCCTTTGAGATATCTTAGTACACGCCTCACTTTATTTCAAATGATGAGCACTATGATTCATCATGTACCGACTTAATTATTCTATCACATATGCGATATCTAGCATCGTGCAAGTCATGCATACATCAAACTCATTTAACATGGAATACTCCAGTTGTAAAACCGGTTGGCCAGTATTAACCATAAGTTCCATACTTGTGGATCCATTGTCGTATCTAACCCACGACAATTTCCACTAAGGAATTTTCTTTACGAGTACCTTCTCAATGCAGAAAAATTGAGAGAAGGAATATTCTTTGTTTTACCGCTTGATTCAATAGACAGAATCACATTTACATCCCCATGCCCCACATGGAGAATTTAAATAACAACTTTTTATCAAAAGTTCACTTATCTTTTATTAGTCCCAAAGATAAGCATGTCATATACGTACAAATGTACGATGACTCCATTACCAGAATCATCATATAATTTTTATATACATTTTGTCTCCTTGGTTTAAATAACATAAACCCCTAGACAAAATCACACCACCAAACCACTAGACAAATCCATAATTTGTCTAGAACTTTATAAACATCAAATAGAGAATTAGACAAATTAACCATTGAGTATGTGACCTACACAAAGACAATTGTAATTTTCTATTTCTCCATTTTACGAAGCCTTCTCCTTCTTCCTCATCTTCGAATCATCCCTCTTCCAAGTTACCTTCCGAATATGGAATACACCATGAGACTAGTATGAAGAAAACCCATCTTCTACTACCATCGATGAAAAACTCATCATCGAACATTCTCATAATTCCATAGATCGACCGGAACCAGTTTCTTGCAAAGAGCGGTTCGAGCCATCATATTGGAAAATATTCTTTTCGATTGTTGGGACTTTTAGGGGTGAGGGTACAAGTACGATAGCCCGAGACCGGGTGACTAGGATTATGATAGAGTCGTGAACAACGTTCACTTTCCTAAAAGAATATTTCCACCCTCTACAAAGCCTTGGGTTACAGGAAATTTCTCCCGAGGATAAAACTATCACCATTTTAGGTTCTAGGCTCAAGAACACTAAAGCATACTTAGAAATTTTTGGAAGAAAGAAGAAGAATATGTTTTATGGTCTGTGGCATCATCCACCCCACACATATTTATAGGGGCCGAATATATCCATACTTTACTTCATGAAATGTTGTCTTTATCCATACGAAAGGTTGCCTTTATCCATATGAAAGGTTGTCTCTATCCATATGAAGGGTTGTCTCTATCCATAAGGTTATCATTTTCCATAAAATAATGCAACCGTCACTAGGCCAAAGGGATGTGTCCCTTCACGGAATTAGAATATCAGTTCGGTCGGTCTAATCCCAAACTGATTGGTAGGTCCAACCCAAAACCGGTTTGACTTGGTTAGTCCGGTTCAAACAAATTCCAACAGAGGCTTGATATAGTCAAGAATGAAAGATTTTGTTACACTAAAAGTGAAAGAGAGACATTTAGATCAGTAAATATATGGCTTAAAAATAGAAAATATTTAACTTCGTATTGGATTGTCTGAAGTTGTCACGTACAACTTATGAATTGTTGACCCGTGCGGTACACCAAAGCAATGATGTGGAGCGTTTCACTAGCAAAGACAAGATCTCCTGGTATTTTGGTCAGTTTTCCGTTTGATACTTGTTATTGGGTCAGTAGTTCCCGGCTGGGTGATAATAATTTCATGCCATGGCGAGTTGTCGGGCAGCTGAGCTAGAGTGGAGAATCTTTGGTAGATAGATACATTTCTGAATTTGGGGTTGTACTTTTTTACAGGGTGAGGTCGGGTTTCTTTATTGGGGAAGAATGGGGTTGCGCTAACTTTCTGATATAATCCCACGGATCAGGTGATGCTAATCTCTTGAGTATGAGCTCTGAATTCACCTGAAAATTGTGCTTAGTAAGTAGTGTTACTTACTATGTTAGTGCTTCCAGAGTGGTGACAGAGGATTGCTTGAGAACTTGAGATTCTAGCTATTCTATTCCATTTTTCTTGCTTGGTGGGAAGTTCAGCAACATCACTAATGGATAGTCAATGTATGTAATGTCCCAGAGATCACAAATGGGTCTGATACCATGTCAAGAACCAGTTGCTCTGACATTCAATGACTCTGACTAAGTGTCAATAACCCTTAGCCTTTATTCATAATGCTGTTCTGACATCCAGTGGCTGTTTGGCGTCTGTCATTGCTCAATTTTGCATTAAACTTATCATCCTGAGGGGTATAAAAGCAGCTGAATTTGAAAGGGTGTGTACTGAGGGGTTTCAGTTGAATTTACTTCCTGATGGTTCCAATTTCGTGTGATACCTATTTAATTTTAGTTAGATATTGCTTTCCTTTTCGTCATTTACTGACCTGCATGTTTTAGTGCACAGATCACCAAGAATCTAGAACATAGATTTTACGAAGAGTTGCAACATGGACGCTTTCCGTCTGTAAAAGTCGTCACGTGCATTTACAGGGAATTGTTATTTTCCTGCAAGCCAAATTTAAGTGTACAAATTTCTTTTTATATTTATCTAAGCTTTTACAAATGGGAGGGGAATGAGGATGGGGGGAAAGATTGGATACATGGATGTTTCTCATAGTACGTAGTTCACAGAGATATTGCAGAAGAAGAAAGTTCAAAGTTTAGATGAGCATATATATATTTTGAGTTGTTTTAAGTAGAGTTTTGCGTATGTACGAACTGTGAAATCAGTTGAGCGCCTCTGATCACATACAAATCTTTCTTCTGCAAGTTAATTAGGCAGTGTTCCTTTTTCTTTATTAACATACATTTGCTTGAGCTATGAACCTTGCAGGCCAAGGCCATTATTTGCCTTACTAATCACGCAGACACTTCTGGAGCAGACTCAACATGCAGTAGGTTCAATTGTAGACTTTGGCTTGCAGTTTCGGTGATTTCATAAGCAGCCAGGTTTGTAGTTTCACTAGTTTGTGGAGCTCCAAGTCCAATGAGAGCAGTCAATTAAACATCTATAGATAAATGCCTTAGTTTCTGATATTATTGTCTTTCTCTTATTGCCCCCACCCAAAAAATGTGATGGAACTGCTGTAGGTTGTCTACATGAACTAAATGAAATAGGATACCTTACTGATTGATAATATATGATTCTACAAATTTATACTTGGACCACACTTGAGGAATGACAACAAGTCTATAGAACAAAATAATAATTTTCCCGGTAAGAAATCAAATCAAATGGTTAGGCAGTTTCCGTGTTTTTAGGCTATTCACTGGGGCCTGGGGGAGCGGATCAGGTCAGTAATTCTATGGTCAGTAACCATAAGTAACTTGTACACATCAGCATGACATCAGCAGCCTCTCTCTCCTGGAAAGTCTTTTATCTTTTCACCTTTAATCTTTAACGGACGATTTCTCTCTCGTTATAAGTCGAAATTTAATTTTTTTGCACTGATAAATCAGATTAAATATGCTCTTCAAAATAATATCCACTTTGATATATTTTTAGTACAAAAAAATTGAATAATTTTTTACCAGTCATTACCATATGGTATGCTCCAATTTAATACCATATGGTAAGAAAGCGTACCATGATGGTATGAACATACCAATATGGTAAGAAGGTTGAATACATGATAGTAGGAGTATATTAACTATCATTAAGATTTTTATCATTGTTTATTACAAGTTACCAATCACATACCATAGTAGTAAAGTATGGTAATTTTTTATCCAGTATTTTTTTCACCCAAAAATTTATAGATCCAATAGATCATGATGAACTCGTTCCTTCTGAGCAAACGTTTTCAAAAACGACTTAAGAACGAAGAAGTTATCATATGGTATGTAGTTGGTAAAAAACAATTTCTCGAAATATATTGAAAATTGATCTCATTTTGTAGAGCACAACGAACTCGTTCCATCTGTGCACAAAAAATTGAAATCCGAGTTAGAACGAAGAAGATAAGAGTCAATTAAGAAAAACTAGGGAAAATAAAATGTCTTTAATTGACAACCCTTGGATCTGAATTTTATGGACCCACTTAAATCTAAAGATCCAGATTTAGTTACTCATAGGTTAGTAACCATTGGTTACTGACCCTATGCTAAGCCGGGGCCTGGCGTAAGCGTTTGGTAGTTTGCTCATCATAAAAAACAAGTGGTTCTATAGATACTAGTTTTTTGGCCCGCGCTTCGCGGCGGTAAGGTTAGTTAATAATTATTTCATTTAATACACGTACATATGAATGTATGTATTATATTCTTTTAAAGCTTTCATTTTTGTAGTCCTGTTGCAAAACTGTTTCATTTTCACTCCTTCATTTGATGACTCCCGTTCTAAACATATAAAAAAAACTCGTATAACATGTTTAATACCCCGTATCTAATGAAATAAAACAGTAATCTTCATATTATAAATACATTAAATAATTAATTTCATATATTTTATGTCTATTGGCTTATTATTACACATAACATTCGTTTATAGACGAAGTAATATATTCATACGTATTTTATACATAAGTGATTTGTATTGTATTTTACTAATTACGGCGATAAGAAATTATTTATATTTAAAACTCTATTCTCTCTTTCAATAATTTGGTTGAAATCAAATAAGTTATAATATAGCATGGGTAAGATACTTTCCTAACGTTTATGTTATGTCATAATCATTATAATCATTATGAAATCCTTACGTAATCATTTACAAAAGTTAACTACCATAAAGAACTTTTATGCATTGAAAATTGATGAGATCATCAATATTGTAGGTAATAATAAAATAAATTATCGTGAATTAAGGAGTAATAAAATGATTAAGTTACAAAAGGGACAATTCCTTTGTATATTTAGTAACTATGACATTAAGTATGAAAAGGGAAAACTATATTCAATTTTTTATTCATAAAACAAAAAGATGGTCTCATCCTAAGGTTGACAACTACTCTTCCTTTGAATTAGCATTTTTAACATATAAATTTTATCCAATTGTTTCATTTTGAAATAATTTGACCCATTTGGCAGTATAAAATTTGAATAAATCAATTTGGTCTGAAGAATTTCAAATTGATTCGTTTTAAGGCAATTACAATTGTTTAAAATGGGGTAAATAATCCAAATTGACCCATTTTAAATTACTCATTTAGTAAAATGAAACAATTGATCAAATGGTTTTCCAATCAATGCTAGAGCTGGCTAATATTGTTAAAGCGATAACCTCACACATGCATATGATTGCCAAGTGTCATCTGAATTTACCTGCAAAACATCATATGAATTTACCTAAAAAACAGCTACTAACAACGATGACTCTTGACATGGGCATTTGATCAAATGATGGACATCTAACAAAATGGTGATAAACCTTAATAGATTTATTTGCCCATCTCCCCTAATTTCACCTTGGTATGCCAATGTTCAGTCAATCGGAGCTGCTTTCATTTAAAATGAAAGAAAAAGATCATATATGCATTACGATATAATAAACTATCTATTTCTTCACTTTTCATCATGGACCAGGAAACCGGATCGTACCGGCCGGTTCGACCGGTAAAACCGGAAATCGGACCAGAAATGAAACGGTAGCCAGTTAGTGGCTGAATTATCGTACCGCCCGGTTTTTTTGGTTTAACCGGTCCGAAAGGAAATATCGGCCGGTTTTGTTTCCACCGGCGGTAAGCTATTTGAAACTGTACGCCGCTGTATTGTGAAACAAAATTATTTATAAAAAAAAAAAGCTCCGAACTCTAAAAGCCAAACCCCAATCCCTAATAGAACGCTCCACTTCTCTTCTCCAGATTCACCCCGCCGCTCCTCTTCTCTAGCTCACCGTTGCCGCTAGCGAACGACGAGAAGGATGAGCTCGACGCGAGGGCATACTTTATAGGTCGACATATTTTCTCTTCTCTAGCTCACCGTTGCCGCTAGCGAACGACGAGAAGGATGAGCTTCCGCGAATCACCGGGGTTGGCCGCCGTATTTTCTCTTCCTCGATGCGACGGCATGGCAAGCAAAATCTGGAGGGATTCATCATCGATTGCGGGGATTGGACGGCGAAGGCTTGGAGACGGTAGATTCGGGTGGAAAATTGCCATCTCCTCCCATCTTCGATTCGACATCTGTAGTGGATGAGAGTGGCTGACGAAGTGAGAAAGAAGATGGCAACCAATTCATAGGGTAATCATCTTAGCAAGATCGGGAGAATCATAGTTGATATGGGAAACAACAAGAATTTGAGTACAGAGCAACGAGAAAGAGGCCTCTGTTCAATCACCTTCCTCGCCGGCACCATGAATTCACGGCCTGCCGATTCCGTCGTTCTTCTTCTGCCCATAAAATTAGTCACAATAGGAGTCCAATCGACCGATTAATTGATCTAGTTTAGGATTAAGGCAAATGAAGAAGCATCTACCGCTTGCATGGAGAATGGAGAGTGAGAATCTGGGATTGAAACTTTGGGGAAAACAGAGGGAATTGCTTCCTCTGTGTTGGGGAATTAGATTGAAGAGAGAGAGGGAGTTAGGTTAGGTGGCTGGCGGAGAGAAAGTAAAGAGGATAAGAAATAAAAAAAATAAACTGTAAATAAAAATATTAACAAATGAATAAAATAATAATAACTTTTCTCGGTATATTCATTTATTATTCGGTGTATTCCGATACATCCGGTATTACTCCGAGACGATACTCTAATTTTGGTGGCACGGTTTTTTGACAAAAAATATATTTTATTATTACAAAAACGGTATTTACCGGTACAAAACGGTTGAATCACGGTCGTACCACAAAATACCATACCAGAAAGAAATCCGGTATGATGTCCGGTACGGTTTCCTTTACCATGCTTTTCATACATATATTCATCTAATATGTCTAGTTAGCTTGCCAACTCATTGAAAAAAGTTAATAAAAGTACCACACACACTTTTTTAATAATTTGGTTGAAATCAAATAATTTCTAACATAGTACGGGTAAGATATTTTCATTACCTTTATGTGATATCTTAATCATTACATAATACATCTATTCAATTGATAAATTAGAAATAACTATTCCTACATAAGTTTTAGGTAATGTATTTATAATTTATATAACTATTATAGAATGGTGTTCGTAAATCTTTCTTGATGTGTGGTATAATAATAAAATTAAGTTATGAAACGTATCACATTTGATTAAATTATTTATAAAAGTTGACTTACCTTACGGAACTTTTGTGTAGTGCAAATGGATGATATGATAATTTTGTAGGTAATAATAAAGAAATATTAATTAATACTAAAAATTTATAAGTAATAATTAAAATAATTAAAATACAAAATGGATAATTTATTTGTATATTTAGTACAACTATGAACTGAAGTATGAAAAAGGAAAAATATATTCATTTTTTTGAATCATCAAAACAAAGATGGTCTCATCCTATGGTTGCAACTACTCTTCCTTTGGATGATGTAATGACCTAATTGTTTCATTTTGTGATAAATGGGCCAAATTGACGTATTTGGCAACATAAATTTGGACGAAGCAGTTGGGCCCGAGAAATTTAGAATTGACTTTTTTTAGACAATTATAATTGTCTGGGGTGGGATAGGTAATTCGAAATGGCTCATTTTAAATTAATCATTTTGTAAAATAAAATAATTGATCAAATTGAATCATTTTCTAAATTGATCCATCCAAACAACTCAATCCTTGTTTGTTGTTTTAATGCAATAGAGTTATGCCTACGTGGTAGCCACGTTAGTGACACGTGGTCGTATACAAAAAATTACGGGCAGTGAAATGCATATGGAAGGTTATCGCTTAACAGTAATGGTCAACCCTAGTGTGTAGATCGTATTTGTCTTAGTATGAGTATAATTTTGATATTCTACCCGACTTGTGTATGAGTAAAACCTGAATTATTTTGGATATAATAATGGATTTGCACTCTCACGCCTAAATCCGAACTGTTGCATGCGGGTCATTCATTATATCTTTCAAAAGATAAATTTTTTAATCTAAATCAATGAAGACTACTTATTCTTTCAATTAAAGAATGGAAGTAAAGGTCCTTAAACCCTCTTTTTTAAGGAGGATCATAAAGCGTTGTGATTGGCTGATTCAATTTTTGAAAGTTAATGGGAATTTATTAGTTAATTAATTGTCAGGGGTATTTAGGGAATTATAATTAAATGAAAAACGTTTGGCATAGTCTTTCTCTTTCCTAATTATTACTGTTTTCAAGGCCATTAGCAGCATTTCTTGGCCATCGTTAATATGGTTTCAATTTGGCTTTACAAATTTTCTTCATTAATAATCTCCGTTGACCATTATTATTATTATTATTATTTTCAGCGCCATTGTCAATCTTTTTAAACATGCACTATTATTTGTCATGGGTATCATTAACTAGTAGTCTAGTACTATTAATCAATATGTAGTCATTATCAACGTTTCAGTGGCCATTATTATTAATTTGGTTGAGCACTATCAATATTTTTTTTAAGTGGGATCTCGCTAACATTATGGTTAAATTAACGTGTATTATTGATTGGCCGCTATCCATCATTATTAACGATTATTTTTCCTTTATAATTAATAATATGCATATCCATGACATAATTATCTTATTATTAATTACATTCCACTAGTAACGATTCATTTAAAATTATTAACGTGTCTTTTTTCTTTCGTATTAATAAGTAATAACCGTGGCGCCATCATAAAAGAATTTAAACCGTGGCTCCCTTGATTCTCATTAGTATCATTAAGATTAACTATTAATCAGTATGTAGTCATTATCAACATTTCGTTGCCCATTATTATATTTTTAAGACGGTTAGCAATAGTGTTTGAAGTGGTCTCTTACTAACATTATGGTTGAATTAACGTATATTATTATTGTCTTGTGAGCATTATTAACGATTGTTTTTTCTCTTTATTATTAATAATAATATGCATCTCCATAGCATATAGTTGTCTTATTATTAATTTGTTTTCACCAGTAACAATTCTTTTTCGATTATTAACTATTCTTTTTCCATTATTAATTATTCTTTTTCCTTTAGTATTATTAACCCTGGCGCCATGATCAATTTTTTAAAACCGTGTCTCACTTGATTCTTATTATTATCATTAACGTTGATTATTAATCTGTGTGTGGTCATTATCAACATTTTGTTGCCCATTGTTTTTTGAAGGCCGTTAGCAATAGTTTTCGACGTGTACTTCCAGTAACCTAGTGTTTGAAGTAATGTGTACTGATAGAACTCTGACAATTGTTAACGTTTATTGTGCTATTATTAATAGTTTCCATGCCGGCGGCAGATCAGATATGTCGGGATGGCGACGGGAAGACGGCTACGCAGTCCGCTTTGTCGTCGCGATGCCGACGAAGCGAGAAATGGCGGGACGTCGATGAGTTTGGAGAGGAAGGGAATATGGCGAGTGGCAGCGAGGTTACTTACGGCGGAAAGGCGGCGAGATGGTGGGATGACGACGGCAACTCAGCAAAGCTACTTTAGTCTTCGACGGGAAGACGATGGCGAGTTCGGAGACGAAGGGACAATGGAAACGGTTTTAGGGTTGGGAGGAGGAGGGTTTTTTGAAAATGATAATTAGGATTTTTACCGTTTTTCTTTTTTATTACTAATATCATTTATTTTTATTATATTTCAGTCTTACCCTTATAGGTAGTTAGCCAATGATTATTAATGATTCTCTCTCTCCTTCTCCTATTGGCTGAAAAGGGTTTAAGATCCTCCTTTAAAAATAGGCCTTAAGGACCTGATCTGACCCGAGGCAATAGGAAGAAGAAAAAACAATGTGATGAAATTAAAGGCGATAGGAAGAAGAAACAATGGGATGCTTGTGCAACCGCCTGGCAGTTCGCATGCCTAGAAAGTAGAAACACAGTCCTACAATAATCCTGCCCACATGGTAACCGGCCCTATTATGAATAATGTGAAGGCCTAATTTTTCGTATGCAACAGTAATCGGGAGTTTGGGTAACTTGTGGCTTAATAATAATATAATAATAATAATAATAATAATAATAATAATAATAATTTATTGTTGCCGGTAAGGTAACATGCAAACAACAGATATCGTGTTCTTTAAATATTCATTCCTTAATTGTGTTGTCCATCTTGATATTGTAGCCCAGATCTGCTTCTTGTTCTTGAATTTACTTGCCATCTTTCTTAAGCAACTAACTTGGATCATTTTCTGATATTTACTTCTTGTCTCTTTCATTTTCAGCAGGTCTGCTACCTTCTCAGAGAAGAGAAGCTCTCTGTTCTGTTCAACTTGTTATCATGCATGCATGATTTTGTTGTCAGCAACGGCAGGGAATGGTGATCAAGAGCTAGCTAGTTCCTTTTGCTCAGACGTCTCTTAAAGTAGAAACAGTTGGCCGGTCTCCTTTCCTTTTAATATAAGCGCATTTTTATATTACGATTAAAATTTTCATCCGCAGTGTTGCAGTCTTTAGGCCTACAGTACGTAATTGGATCTTTCAATTGTAATCCTTCCTATGGATTGTCTTTCACAAGAAACTCCTCACTCATGACAACTTAAAGAAGAAAGGGATACAACTACCAAGCAGGTGCTCTCTTTATGAAAAGGCAGAGGAGAACCCCAATCATCTCTTTATCAGCTGCAACTATTCAATGGAAGTCTGGCGGATCATGAGCGCATTTGTTAAAACCGAAATCAGGGCAATGCTAGTGACAACATTGCATCAAGGATCTACAATTGGTACTCTCAAAAGCCGGCAAACTCTAGTCAATGGTGCACCAAAGTTTTTCTTCGTGCTTACTGCTGGAATATCTGGATAGAAAGAAACACCCGAATCTTCAAGGGAGTTGTTGCATCATCACGTGTTACATCTTATCGAATCGGTTGCGCGATCGCAAGCTGGTTATCCGCAGCTCAGAAAGTTGCCAGGCAAGAGACCAAGGCCTGGCTGGAAACTTTGAAAAGCAGGTTAATCTCTTCCCCTAGACAGAGTCTGCTGCAGGGCAACTGAACGCAAACATCCCTGCGGTTCTGCTCTTGGGGTTCTACTCTGTCAATTTGCTTCTTCAGGACCTGTTTGAGTTCATCTCCACCCAGTTCCATCTTGGGATATTTATGCAGGGGTTCACTCCTTTCCTTTTCCTTTTCTTTATTTGGGAATCTCGCATTTGGGTTCCCCACTTCCCTGTATGTGTATTTTCTGGGTTGTTCCAACTTTCCTTTTTAATTTATATTTATATCATCCTTAACAAAAAAAAAAAAAAAAAATTGTAATCCTTGTAGCAGGTTCATCCCTACGCACCTTGAGTTAGTTGAAGAAGTCTGGTCGTTGAATGTCCCCCCGACATTGGCTGGACCCAAGATAGCATACTATTCAGAGGAGGATGATCGATGTTGCTGCTTTGAAATCACTCTCTTGTGTGGAAGCAAATAAAATGATCACCTCTTCAAGGAAACTGTGACACCCAATTTTATGTCAACATTGTCAGAGGTGCTGCTGTTCTAGCTAGCTACTGGGGTTGCAATATCTTTAGAGTAAAAATGATGCACTTGTTTCTTTTTTTCTTTGCAAAACTTTTTATACCCGGATTGGATTGTTTGACAATCTACAGACTATGGGAGCTATATATATATATATACAGAGGACTCTGAAATTATTCGGTTTTAGACTATGGGAGCTTATTTGCTGCTTAATACTCACCGTCAATGTTGAGACTCGTTTGGAGAACGGGATTTAGGTCGTGGATTCATTGAATCCGTAGATTCTGTAGAAAGTTATGTTTTTTTGTTGCTTTTTGTATTGTGGATTTTAGCTTTAGAGATTTCAAATCTCTAAAATCTATGGATATCAAATCTCTCATAATCAGAGAGATTCTATATCTTGATTCTTGAGATTTTTTTTCCTCCTACCTTTTCTCTTTCTTTTATTTATTTATCATATTAAATATATTTACTAACAAAGTTTATAATATTTCTCGAACCACTGTAATTTTTTATTAAAGATAAACACGTTATTTAATATAAAAATAATTTTTTTTATTTTCATTGAATGTTAACAATCACAGTTACCAAACAATAAACATTTTAAAATCTATTTTCAACAATCCGAAGAGTTAGAATCTTTAGATTGTTGAAAATCTATAGATTTAAACTCATATTCTCCAAACGACCCCTTAGGGCATATGGAATGTGATTCCAAAACCAATGAAAGTGACCAGGACTAGCCAACCCAGGCAGGTAACCCTCCAAGGCTCTAACTACTTTGCTTTTCTAATATGTTCAAAAGCATATTCATGCCATTCAATATATAGGGGATAATTAATATTGTTGCTGTGTGGGCTTCCATATATGTCATTTTTGCATCTAGGTTTGGGCTTCCTTACAGTTCCATCTATTACATTTTGTGTTAGCATGGTATTGGTATCTCAAGCTACAATAATAGATTGTAGTTAATTAAACTAAACTAGGTAGTTGATAGTTAATGGACTTATTATATTTCCTCTTAATTAGTTAGACATGTTTTTCCTCATGCTTGGAAAAAGCAATAGATGTAAGGGAAACCGCCCAAGAGCAAGTATCTTAATCTAAGCTTGGATGTCTTCATACCAAAAAACAAAAAAAAAGCTATAGAGGCCGGTTATGATTTATACATATACTAGGTGGCGATGTCGCGTCTTGTCTCGGCTAGAGATGGCATATATGCATGTATTATGTGGCCCGTTATGATGTTTTGTTAGTATTATTAGCCTAAATTAATTTTTTTAGCAGTTTTGTTAGTAATATTGACTTGATAATATGATATTGACTATATGGCGGTCAACATCTAATTTAAAAGAAATTGAAATTTTTGCCTAATAAATGATATTTATCTAAAACCAAGTAGACCCATTGATTATGGTTAGGGTACGTATGACGTATAAATCTATGGGTTTGAAAGTTTGTAAATGGGTTTGGGTAGGGTAGGGTATGGATATTTACTTTCATAGTCTAAATGTGTATGAGTTGGGTATGGATACCTATTTATTCGAGGGTGTGCACTTCAAAAGTTTATGTACCAAAATGTAATACACAAAAAATTTAGATACTAAAATGTAACGTTCCATCAATATTTTGAGGACTTATACGCCAAAAAAATAAATTTAGGTTATAAATCTAAAGATCTATTAAGTTTAGCTACCTTACTGTAATTTGCATAGTTGAGGCTTAATTCCTTTTATGGTGATGTAATTAAGATGATACTTATTTACTTTCTCTATAGAAAATAGGAAAATATTTATTTGATATGTATAATTGTTGAAAATTCCATGTATAATTGTTGAAAATTCTAGCCCAGGTGAAAAAGAAAAACTCTAGAGAGAATAAAGGAATACAAACTGAAACTCGCTTAAAATTTCACGTCTTTAAATCTCATAGTGGAAAATGATGACTTTCTAATAAGTAGTCACCATATATATTTATTTTTAATTGGACTCGATATTGAGCTAAAAAGTTAGTGGTTCATGGTTCAAAGTTCAATTATTAATTCTCTAACCTGTAGGTCAGTCATGTATGGACCTGGTCATACTTGTGATTAGAATACATAAAAATAGTATACTAATTAGAGTTAGACGAATAAGGCAAAGAAAGAAATAAAGAAAAGGTTATGGAAGGCGAGTGAAAAATGAAACGAAGAGGAAATAGATGATGGAAAGGTTTTGAGCAATTCTTCTAGTTGGTCGTCAATATAACAGTCAACTCTTTTCACCGTAGCCATTTATTGACACTTGCTTATGTAGATTTTGCACATTTTGTTAGATGTAGTTACTAGTTAGTAGAAGTTTGTTTAGTACCCCATAAATGTACTAAATGCATGAGTTTATAAATTCGCTCTTGGGATATTTTAGAGTCGTCTCTCTTTTATCATTTATTTAATATTTCACGTAATGAGCACATATAAAATGGTCATATCTTCTCCTACAGTTGAGTGATACAACATATTGTATGATACAAACTAAATTTATACTTTTACTTTATGGTGGATTTGATTCATAGATTGGTTCCACGGGATTTGTCATTCCGGATTCATGGATTCAAGTGAAATCTAAACATTGGACCAATATGTAAATTTAACAAATTGTAGATACGAAAATCTCATAAATTTTAGATACCAAAACATAATTGTTCAATAATTTTACACTAAAATTAAATTTGGGGTATCAAAATATAAAATGTACATTCTAATGATTAAGTTGTGATTTAATTAAATTTGGAATATCAAAATAATATTGTTTAAGGAAAAAGTAACTAAACTTCCGTTTTATATATAACTAGGTGGCGATGCCTCGACTAGTCGCGGGGCGGAGATGGCCTATAGGTATGTATTATGTGGCCTGTTATAGTGTTTTGTCAGTATTATTAGCGTAGAATTAATTTTTTGTTAGCAATTTTTTTAGTAATATTGACTGAGAAAAGATATATGGCGGTTGACATCCAATTTAATTGTTTTTGAAAATTTTGGCTAATAAATGATATTTACCTTAACCCAAGTAGACCCTTTTTTTTTAGGGAAAGGAGGGACCGCACCTCCTGTAATTTTATTAATTAAGCCAAATGGCTAGAATCCAGGTACAGATCGTTCAAAAGGAACGATGGGGAAATACCTATCCAACTATTACATTGATTTAAATCTATCTGAACATGTGCCAAAGCGTGAGCCACAATATTAGCTTCCCTATGCGTATGCTTCCAAGCGTAACAGTCCTCAATGCCACCAGCCTGCAGAATGGCCTCACAAACCGCTCCAAGTTCTGTCAAATCTACCCTCTGTTGCCGCAAAGTGTTCACCAGTGTTAAGCAGTCCGACTCGACTTCAAAGGGGCCAAGCTGCTGTCCATTCATCATCTCCAGCGCAAATAACACTGCTCGACCCTCTGCCACTGCTGGACACCATTTCTCGGTTTCCCTTTTCACTGCTGCAAACCTGAAAGCGCCGGTCCAATCTCTATCTACCATTCCCAAACCAGTTCCTCCATCTCTCAAACAACCAGCATCAGTGTTCACCTTTAGAATTCCAATCCCCGGTGGCTGCCAATGTTTAAGCCTTTTGTCTTGCTCTCTTCTTCTCTCCGCTGCCTGTTATTCATGTCTATATTCCAAAATCCAGTTTTGAGCTCTCATAGCCACCTCTTCCTCATTCAGTTTTTTGCCATTAAACTGCTGGTTATTCCTCTCATTCCAAAGGAACCACAGCAGTGTACTTACGTCCCCCGCGATATCTGAGTTTGTTGAGTTAAGAAACCTGTTCAGCCAGCCTAACAAGCCTTCCCCTTTCACAAAGCCACATTGGTCCGGCCAAGCCGATCTTCTCCACATCCTTCTCGAACAGCCACATTCCATAAACCTGTGCTCCTGTGTCTCTGCCAAACCACAATAGGGGCAGTCTGGTTCTATCTTTTCTTCCATTTTCTTCACTAAGTTCATGTTGGTAGGTAGTATATTCTACATAATCTTCCAAATAAAATATCTTACCTTAGGCGGTGAACTAACCTTCCAAATGGCCTCCCAGTTCGTATTGGACAGATTTTGCGGGACTTGAATTTCCTCCTCCCCTTCCTCAAGCTCAACTACTGGCTCTTGAATAGCTAGATCATATCCCGATTTCACACTATAGACTCCATCGGAAGTAAGATCCCAACAAAAGGAATCATTTACCGGCCGGCTCTGCAGGGGAACAGCCTGGATACCTCGCACCTCTTCCGGGGAGAACAGCAATTGCAGTACATCAGCCCTCCACCTATTGTGATCATGATTAGTAAGATCTGATACAAGCTCATATCCCATCTTCCCATTCGGCCCAGCCATCAACTTCTTCCTTTGTAGACCCGGCACCCACCAATCTTCCCAAATTTTAATGCTTGAGCCATTTCCTACCCGCCTTCTACATCCCTTCAAGATCAGGTCGCGGGCCGAGAGTAAACTTCTCCAAGTGTAGCTTGGTCGAAAACCCACCTGCGCTTCTAACACTGAGCAGTGAGGAAAGTACTTTGCTTCCAGAATTTGACCAACTAATGAATCAGGCTTCTGCAGTAATAACCATAATTTTTTTTCTAGGAGAGCCTTGTTAAAGGTTGCCAACTCCTTCAAACTGATCCCCCCTTCTGCTTTACTTCTGCACAGGTAACTCCATTTGCGCCAGTGTATCTTGTTCCTGTTTTCATTCTCACCCCACCAGTAATTTGATATAATGCTATTAATCTCACTCACCAGGCAGCCCGGTAATTTGAACACGGACATAGCAAAGTTTCCTTGTGCCAAAGCTACTGCTTTTATTAAGACATCTCTTCCTGCCGTAGAGATCAATTTGCCCTTCTATCTGTGTATTCGGCTTCGAATCCTTTCTTTAATGTAGGTAAAAGCTACCTTCTTCGACCTTCCCACCACCGTTGGAAGCCCCATGTATTTCTCATGTTTTGACACTTCTTTTATACCCAGATTAGTTAAAATTTCAACCCTCCGCTGCTGCCCAACATTGTTGCTGAAGGTGAGTTCAGATTTGCTCAGGTTTACCATTTGTCCAGATTCCTTCTCATAAGTCTTAAGAATGCATATCAGCTGTTCGCTCTCCTGTGGACTAGCCCTCGCAAACATGATACTATCATCAGCAAACAATAAATGTGAAACAGTTGGGGCCTTGTTACACACCTTGATCACGTGTAGTCTGCCCTCTTCTTCTGCTTTATTGATCAAAGCCGTCAAACCTTCAGCACATATGAGGAATAAATTTGGGGAGATTGGATCCCCTTGCCGAAGTCCTCGAGTCGGCAGGAACATTTCTGTCTTATGGCCATTTACAAGGACTGAATAGCTAACTGTGGAAATGCAGGCCATGGCCATTCGACACTACAACAAATTAGGTCTATTATGATGCAAGGACTTTGTCACAATACATTATGAATTTGTCATATTACATCCATTGTGACAAATATCATTCGTCACTAACGTTGTCGTAATATCGCCGTCGTCGTTGACTTAATGTGACAAAACTTTTAGATGTTCGTCATACTAGATCTACCAATAATGTGACCTTTATAAATTGTCATAAACATGTCACTAATGTGACAAAATGATTTGTCGTATTAAGCTGACAAAGTTGTCATTCTACAACGGTGTTTGTCACGAGATGTCAAGTTTTATCTAACTTAACGTGACAAACACCGCGAAGTATGATAATTACATTTTGTCATACTCGACTGTTGTCACAATTGATATTCGTTCTGTTGTTGGATTATGACAAATTTTACTTTCTCATACCTATAGAATTACGACCATCATCTTTTGTCATGGAAGGTTCACGAGTCATTATTGCAATTTCTTTTTTTTTTAACATAGACAAACGAGAGTCGTTCAGTCATATAGTCAGAGTACAGATAGCAACCACACGCGGAAGTCGACAAGTAGTCGAACTTCCGATGAAAGGGCTTGTTTTGCCACAAGATGGGCGGCCCTGTTAAACCTGCGATTAGCATAGGTACAAGAACAAAATTCAAAGCTCTCTGCAAGCTGCTGCACATCTTCCAGGATAGCT